CCCCCCCCCCCTTCATTCCGTCAACTCACATTTGCAACGGAGATGTCATGTTCCGTACTTTCCACATGTCGTGTTATTGTCACTTCTTCGTTCCCTCGCCTTCTTAGCAGGAAGCGACCACAACTGGAGCCCCGCTGTTAGGTAAATAGCTCAAATCACGGATTCAAGTGCTGCGTTCTCTTGACAGGGGGCAGATTTGGGACGGCTGGGTGGGCTAATCGCCCGCTCCCCTCGACCAACCACCAGAGGCAGTCTTGCCACGCTCCGATGACACGATTGCAGAGCCGCTCACAAAGGCAGGAGGCGTGACGAAACTGAGAGGGCGCTCATCAACTCTGTAATTATCAGTTGCTCTTCACCACACATTTCATTCAGGCGTCGAGATCCGTCCACGTGAACTGGATAGCGTGATTCAAAGGGGGACACTGTGTGTCTGCACAAGCCACTCGGTTTCACCGCTTGTAGATAAGTCTTGGCTTTACTCCGCTTTCACCCGCGCGGCACCGGACCCGAGTGGACCGAGCCCTCGACTCTGCTGCTGCTCGTTCAAGTTCCCAATGGAAATCCTAGCAATAGGGTCCCCGGCCGTGACACCGGACATGTTGTCAGTGCCCACACTGGTGCTTCTGTACACTCGTGTGTGAACTTTGGAGTCCAGTGGCTCGAAACTGACCATTGGCCCTTATCTTTTGTATCCTGGTTGAACTTTACGTTATTACTGAATGTCCTCAATACACCCCTTTCCTCCCCCCAGCAAGCGATGTGTGAGGGGTCAGTCGCCCACTCTGTCGGTGGTAGCCTCACCCCGAGCACGTCTCAGCACGAGAAAGGTCTGACCAAGTCCATCCTTTATTCCGTCCGTCCAATCCCAACATATTTGATCATCGGCAGAATGTATATTATTCCTGCCATTTTTCTTCCCCCTTTGTAATGACAATGCCGCACAGTAGATGTCTCAATCTAGCTTGCTTATATACTTGGTGCTACAGGATAACCAGACAAAAGTAAACTCGCTGTACAGTACAAATTTGTAATTGAATGTATGTTGTGCAATGGATATAAATGTTTACAATATTTTTGTAATACCCAAGGGGCGGACCTCATTTGTGTGAGTTGAAACAAATGGACTACTATCAAGGGGAATGTAGATTGTCCTTTGCTTCTTTATGTGAGAAAAAAAGCACTTAAAAAGGATTCACTGTGAAGACATTAACCTAGAACGTTTATTATGTGCCAGAGAAACAACACAACAGTGTTATGTACATGTTTCGTGTGAATTAAGCAGCCTGCCTTTTTTTTTTTTTTTTAACTTTCCTCAATTTTGTTTTCTTAGCGGGGCATAGAACCTGAGTGCTGACAGTAATGGTGAATAAAGTGTTGTTTTGACCAAAACTTGACGTCACTGCTCGGTGCCCTGCAGGGGTCGCTGTCTGTCCGCGTGGCGGTTGTGTCTTGACTGACTTGGAAGCCCAAAAGTACAACTGTTGTTGGTTTGATGATTTGACAGTGCTGAATGACACCATTTTAAGTTTGGGATAGATCCCAAATTCTGATGATTTGAAATTCAAATGTCAATGCTCAGTTATTCTCGCTACTGTGTTGCTTTAAAACTCAATTTATTCATTGGCTTTTGACTCAGCACGATACTTGATGTCAGTTTGACTGTTTTTTGTGCTTTTTACGGTCTCAGTTTTTAATTTAGTGCTTTATCGTCCGTTGTCGTACGACTTGTTTTGCCCCCTGTATAGCACTTTGTAGACGGCGGTGGTGTTTTTCCAGTGCTCTAGAAATACAGGTGAGTTGATCTTAGCAACTAACGAGCTAGTAGAGTAAATTACTAGAGGCAACCAAAGGAATCACACTACTACATTCAAAAAAGAGGGGCGAAAACAGAAGGGGACTACTGATTCAACTTCGACATGGATGAACGTGAATCAGCGCCTTAATGACGACGGCAATGGATTCGGAAAAGATATTCACCAACGACGGTACGGCCTTCTTCCTTTTTTGTCTCGAAAAAGTGGGAAACTCGAGTGCGGCGGTTTTGTTGTATTAAGTTATCAAATTAAGTACACAACAGTAAAAATGTATCAGTTGTTTTTTACTTTTGTTCTTCAGCACGTTGCAATACTGCATTGTTGTGGTACATGCTGGTGATGGACGCAAATCCATAACCCAGTCACAGGCCCAGATTTAAAAAAATTAACAGCAAAAATGGGTGGGTTGAAACGGGGAAAAACGCCAAAATGAGTGACACGCTCTGGCGACGCCTGAAGGCACCAAGCTGAAAGTCAAAACAAAAACTTGTTTCAGAGCCTGTTGGTTTTTAATTTTAGTCGTTTTCCCTCAACGTGTACTTCTACTCAACTACAGGCTGTGACTACTTTTGCCAGCTCGGGCAATTGATATCCAGATGTATTGATTTCTAATGTAACAAGTCGAGAGGAAAAACTACTCAAGTCCAGAAAAGAAGGTATTTCGTATTCTACTTTACTTCCTGACGCTGCAAATGATCTTGATATCTCGGTGTAGCCCATTGGGGTTGTTTTAGAACAGAAATGACAGTGGGGCAGGGAGACGTGTGGGAATCGGGGGTCAGGCCGCTCAATTATTGCGAAAAACCCCAGTGAACTGCTTTCGTTGAGCAAACGAGCAAAACGGTCTAGGAGGTGCTCCATGGTGGGGGTCCATCGGTTGTTCAGAGAGTGGAATCAAGCCCCTGTCCCATCGCCACCCCCGTCCCCACCTCTCGACTCACGTGCTGGGGCGGAGACTCGTTTTTCGGATTCTCCAGTGGAGGAGGACGGTCCCGTTCTACTCCGCGCCCGGACCACTCGGTGTACTTCGTGTAGTGACGTTCACCACGACTCGGGCACACACCTAATTTTAACCTGTGTTTTCCACGCTTTTTACAATGTGAACAAAATGGCCGGGACCAGGTAAGTTTTAAGTTTTGTGTATATATCGATGTTAAATTTCGCTCGATGCCAAGAAGCGACTGAACGTGAGCTGGAGAACCCTTTCTTGCCGCCCATAGCAGACCACAAAGGATACTTTGCAAGTTGCTATGCTTCGCCGCTATTTTCACGATGTGTCGCTCGACTAATTGAACCACAAACATAGTTAGGGTGTTAGTTGTTTTTTTTTTTCGTTTGTCTATGACCTCTTTAATTGTGACGTTGCTTTTTGCTTTGAACGTGTAGCACCGCATGCACTTTTCCTTCTATTATTAGCGTTGGAAAGCAGAGAAGCTTGGTTTTCCCGCAACCTCATAACTTTTGAAGACTTTTACTGGCCGCTGCGCCGTTTGGCCACGTAACTCTTTGGTGTGGTTTAAAAGCGCCAACCAAAACGGAAAGCAAATGTTCCCAAGCCATTTGCCACTCCAAATCACACTTCCAAGTGCGGCATTGTAACCGGGATTGGCTCGACCTCCAGGTTTGAAGTTCCCCACATGGCACGTTCCTCTGCATGCACCGCGGCTGCTTTCAATATCAGGTTATTATGACTTTCCTGTGTTGTAGTCCGCACATTATGTTGAAAGCTAAAGCTACCGTAGTGATAAAATGCGATGATACAGTTGTTCTCTGACTTGTTGCCTATCAGATTTTATGATGTCTTTGTGCTGCCCGTCCATTTTCCATCGCTGTTGTCCTCACGAGCACTTTCAGACCTCAGGACAATTTAGAGCAGGGCTGTCCACGCTTTATACCCGTACAAGATACTAAAAATAATATTTGACGCTTACCCAAAGTATCCCCCCCCCCTCCATGAATCCTGCACATACACACAAGCAGGATGTCCATCCTTCAAGTGTTTTGACAAAATAGACCCAGTTGAGAGAAGTGATTCTCAAGCTTGCATGACAACATCAGTCTGTTGATGTCTCCCCGTCTTTTCTACTTTGTTGTAGTGCTGATCCCATCAATGTAGATTAGCGGGCCAACGCGTTTCATATGTCCAAAGCCTGCCATATTGACGGCGTAATGAGGTTAAGGTGATTTGCCCGCACACGTTGATCTGTCCGTGTACAACTTGCGACCAGGTTCTGAAGCTTTCCGAATGAAAGGATTAAGGTCTGGTTCAACAGTGTGCCCTTTGTATGCTAAATCTAATGGGAGAAAATGTTGGTCAACACAGACTTGGTCGGGACTTGATTCTTTGTGATGACTTATGTCTGCGCCTGCACAAAATGCTTGCTAAAAGCATCCGATCGTAAAATCGTCAGTGCTTTTTTTTGTTGGCATTGCTTTTCAGTATTGTGTGTCCACAGAACGCTAAATGTCCCTTTTTGTTTTGACACGTGTCAGTTTTGTAACCACTGCTACCAACGCCACAGGGCTTAAAGGGGGAAGTCGAGTCAAATTTTGGAGGGACAATAATATGAGGGGACAGTCAAAAAGTAACGAACCCCGTTCAATTTACTGGTGCCATCGTTCATATTTTTTTGCCAGATATTTTGTTCGAATACAAACTGGTGAAAAATATAATAAATCATCGTGTCAATCATTTTGGAAAGGACATCATCATTATTGGATGTCTGTCTGAAGCAAAGAGCTGTGATTGAACTAGGGAGCCTCTCACATTTGGACCGGTTGGGTTGTGATTTTCAGTTCCTCGGAATCAATACCGGTACTCAACTGTACCAATTTTTGCTACTTTTTGTTCTGTTGTTTTGTTTGTGGTAATACATATTTAATTCTTTAAAAGTAAAAACAAATAACAAATTCTGTTCTTTTTCAAGATATAAAATTTGACTTTACAAAACATGATGAATGTCAAGTAAATGAGCCAGTTTGTGAATGTCACATGACAAAAACAGGTGCACTGGGACAGTCGTTATTTGAGCCCTTAGGCACTGTGATGTCATTTTCAGTCAACAGCAGGTGGCAGTACAAGGCAAAATGGCCGCCTCCTTAGGTGGAAAAAAAAATGGTGGATTTTTCTCCTTAGTTCAGATTCCTCAAACGCAATATTCATGAGAATACTCTGTTTAGACTAGTGAGGGTGGACCTGACATGTTATTGCAAAGACATTTTTTGACTCGACTCCTCCTTTAAATCATGTCTATACATACACAAATATTTTCAGAAATGCATTTTTAATCCTAACGGATGAAGCTGGTCAAAAATTCCCGCCATGGTAAAGTCTTTTAAAAAATCGGCTTCAATCTTGTTTTTTTTTTCTTGTTGTTCTTTTTAAAATGAGGTCACAAGTGTTCAGTAGTCTCTCCTTAAAAGGCGGAGTTGCACTCATTATTTAAAAAAGGTGTAGATCGTCAATACTAATTCAACTTTGTTTAAGCACAAGAGCGTCCCTTCTCTCCACTGCTCTGTGCAGCCTTGGGAATTTTTTTTTCTTTTTCTTTACGCTATCAACCCCAGTGGGCATGAGCAGCTCAGAAGATGGACGGATGTTAGCATGAATGGAGATTTTCTTGAACTCATTCCAATTGTATTTGAATAGCACCAGCCATTATCGGGGTTAACAATAGCTTTCCGACATATGGTGCAGCCCTTCGATGCATATTCTGTATTTTTGTGGTCTATCGGCGGGTGGACGTGTCTCGTTAACTTAAAATCAGGACATGAGAGTATGCCGCGGGGTTTCTTGCCGCCTTGCTTCGAGAAAGGCCGACATCCGTCGCTCAATCAGATGACGGTGACATCACGGCCTTTCCCCAGCCAGCGTTCTAGAACCGGGTTCCCTTGTCGCCGCAAGGGGTGAAACCGGTGCACTGGAAAGGGGGCAACGGACCCCCCAGTCCGAGCCTTCACAACAGCACCGGGCTGTCCTGCATTCCTAATCTTGGCAGCCTGCACCTTTACTTCCACTCGAGGACAATCGGTATGTTTCTTTGCCGTGTGGCTGTGCGGTCACCCGCTGACCCCCCGCTCACCCTGTAACTCTACTCTGGGATTAGACGTGGCCTCGTTTGTCATGTCGGCGGGGAGGTTTCGGGGGCGGGGGGATGGTGGGGCCGCCCCGCTCGAAAAGAAGTTGCAGACTGCTCCTTGAGGCAGACGCGCATGGAACGCTTGTTTCGCTCGCACATGCCGAAGATGTGAAGTTGCCAAAGTTTGTCGGTCTTGCTAGCAATGTTCCCGGCGGTAATGCGATGAGATGAGATGCAACGTGGCGTGATTAAGAACCGCCACATCCTAACAGGTTCACTTCTCTTCCCCTGTTTGGACAAGTGACCCCATTGTTCTTGCTCTGACAGCTGGTGCACTGAACAGAAAGGCCGCCGCGTGTGTTGTAAACACGCTCGACAGCCTCGACTGCACAAGTTCGCTCTGTCCCAGTTGAAACCTGCGCACGTTTTCCTTGAGGAAAGAAAAGGGGACGAGTTTAGGAATGACACTGAGCGAGCGAGACAAACAAGGAGATGTAGAGCACATAGACGAGCGTAAGAATTTTGAATTTATCGTAGCGCGCGTGCGTACTACACTAGAACTATAAACATTAAAAAGGGGACGTGGAGTGTTCTCCAAGAACTGGTGTCAAGGTAGACGCTCCAATGGGAAAAAAATTGTTTTGCACCCGGATCAATTTGGCGGCAAGGGAGCGAATGAATGCAAATCATGAAGAAAATGGCCTTTGGCTGCGTGACCCTGTGGGATCCCATGCCATTGGTGAAGGGAAAGCCTGGCTCCTTTTGGGTGAGGGCAGCTGTTCAAGTGCGTCACTCACAACTGGTTGGATTGCCCCTCCCCTTTGCGCCTCCGATTGGCTCGTCGTGGCCACGTCGAGGCAACTCGGCGTCTGCGCCGACTGAAGTTGGCCTGCGGATCTGACAATGGTCGGCATTGTTCTGTAGCACGGCGGGCTTTGGTCCGAAGAGGCTGCGTTTTGTGGGCTTTGTAATGCTTACGACCGCGAGCCATCACGGGACATTCGTTCAACTCGGGAACCATTTTGAATCCAAACAAAACCGCAGACTCAACCTGTGGTGGTGCTCAGGTAAGAAGAGAAGCTTCATACCTGCGCTTGTTTTACATGGGATCATTTTGAACTGGAAAGTCCATCGACTCCCTTTGGGTCGCATGTTTACACAATAAAAGTATTTTGGAGATTCATTACAAACGGAAGAGTGTGAGGAAACGTGATGGACGTCACACTTTTTATTTCAATGTGTTTAAACGAAAAAGTAAGCAATTCTAAATTGCGAAAATTGGTTGTTAGAGAAGGGAAAACGGAAGCCGAAGCGCGACGCCCACCCGGCGGTGAAAGTGGCACACGGCCGAGCGTGCCGCAGTGCACGTTAGCGAGCGAGTTATGTGGAAACGAACGCCAACAGATGGCAAACGTGACAAAACGGGACGATCCCGCTTGTTCATCATAACATTTAAAAAGTTGTAAGAAAAATTGCAGCAGTTGCCGAGCACAACGTCGCGCCACTACTTCGCGCGGACTGTTCACGTTCTCCAGAGTAGCGCCGAGAAGCTCGAGATGCTTTTCTTTTCCAAACGCTGAATCATTTTAGAGCGGACCACATGTTCACGTTTGCCAAGGCCGAGCTGATTGAAGTTTACCCCAAACCAGACCATCGAGTTCTTACCGTTTAGGCCTGCGGGCTGACTCACACCCGCCAATCATCATCAAGTGATCGCACTTGGCATTGAAAAGGTCTTTGGTTAATAGTCGCTCGTACTGAGGGAGTGCGGTCACGGGGATGTGGAATTATTTGGACGACTTTCCAGCAACTCTCAGTCAGACTGAAAACGGACGGAACTGTTCAGGTGCCGGAGTTCCGCCCTACCTGTCTTACCTGTCTGTACTTGGGCGAGGGGAAAAAAAAAGATGGTTTCCACAATTCATTGGCACTACATTCTCTCATTCGCCAGCATCTCTCTGTTTCGTGTCCCGCCCGAGATGTTTTGCCGCGCCAGGCGACCCTGAAACCAGCGGCAGCGCGCTGAGCTGGAATTGACACAGACAGCTGCCGTCGAGTGCTGGAAAGATGGCCGATGGTCGCGCTTGTCTCACTGTCACAGTAATTTCCAGCTCGCATTTTCTTTTGCTCTTTTGAGCAAAATGTGAACAAAACGAGTCCCAAAAAAATTGGTGCACAATCAAATCGCTTTTGTGACCACACAATCAGAACAAAGAACCGATGCCCGGACTAAAATACGAAGAGATTTTAAACGCCTTCTGGATTTGTTGTTCGTCTTTATACATTTAAGCGAGCGTCGCATGCAATCGGGTAAATTGAAAACTCCTCCCAAAACCTCTTCCATTGTGGCGGGAAAAAACCCATTTTGGCCACATGATTGATTTCATAGTGGCAATGTGGCTTAATGGTTTGAGCGATTGATTAGTTTGGCTGCGGTCATCATGTATTTGTGTCCTGTTGCTGGCACGCGGCTCCTGTAGCTTGAAAATAACGGAAAAGTGGCACAATTCGATGCGGCTGACTCGCAGACGGCAAAATACTCTCGGGACCCGCGCCACGCTTGAGGCCGCTCAAGGTCCCAAGTCAGCTGTTTGGCTAGTGT